TTTATCCTTTTTTTTGTATTGCTGACGATTGGGTGCGATGTCCCACGTGACTCCCTATTATTCATTCTTCAGTTGACGTAGGACACGAACTCCTTCGTGAACACTATGCACGCAGAAGTAACTGTCTTCAGAGGACGGGCGGTCTTTGTAATTGGCATTGGCTTGTTGCATTTCGATTCTGTCCTCTTCGCTTGAAATTATTTTCATCTTCATGCCATTGCAATTCTCTCCTTACCTTTCAGTATCTGGTACAGCACGATTTTTTTATCAAACCATTCACTATGAACTGAATTTTCAAGTGAGTTTTCAGAACCACTATGGTCAGTTGTCATCAGGGCATTTTGTGGCGTACGCTCGCGGTAATGACGAGAAATGGCTACTGCTCAATGATTGTTCTGTGAGGGTAAGCTCTTTGCTTTACCTTCTTTTCTCTTTGGCATATTTTCTTTTTTTTTGCTTAGGAGGTCACCGAAGAGGAGGTGGATCGCGCTGGTGCGTATCTTCTTTTCTTCGAAAGGAAGGACTGACATCAAATTCGCGTGAGGTGGGCAGCGAGAGTTCGATAGGACATCTGGACTGACATGAGGAGTTGCAGCAGAAGCCTCTGTTCAGAGAGTCCTAGAAATCTAGTTTGTACGCGAATTCTTCAAACCTAAGCTCTGATGGTGAGCTCAGGAGTAGCCTCTTTAGTTACTATTCTGAGCTCATCTAGATTTTGCCATGAATTTCATCGTTCTTTTTTGGGAAGCTGGAAGTGAGTCCAGTGTCACGGGAGACGTTCTACAGTTATAATCTCGTCATATCATCGTGTGAAAGTGAGCTATATATTTTAATTCCATGTTTTGGTTGTATTCATACAAATACCGTAGCCTACAACACCGAGTGCAATTTTATTCCATGGCTTTTTGATGTGGGGTAAAAAAGGACAGAATCTAAGGGGGGGGGGTACCATGAAGAAAAATAGTGAGTGGGATATGGCTCTTTCAGCCGTTATTGTCATTCGTTATTGTACTATTCATCCAACTCCTAGTTCTTTTAAAGGTGTGTTAGCAAGCAGTTGTGCCCTTCAGTTGTAACAAACAACCACTATTGAGTGGGATGCGATAAAAGCTGATCCCTTTGTGATTGAGCGCGATGACCAGGTATTGTGACTGCGTGTGGTTTATAGTTTGTAACATTGCAATTTGTCGGGGGCGGCGAGCGCAGCGCGGAGCTCGCGTCCGGCTGCCTTGCTCTACCAATGGTGATCGAGCAATGATCGATGTAGGAAGGAATCAGCCACTGGTGGGAAGGCCGCAGGTGGGAACCGCTGATTGCGACCCGACTGTTCGCAATGATGAGGACTGTACTTGCAGTGAAGTCTCGATTAGGCTGATAAAGTCAAGATACCTGCAAACGATAGAGCATGTGACGCGGCGTGGGTTGCAACACTGCCAGGACACGTTTTCCACCGACGATGGCATCCTGAGCCCGGTACAGCTGATGGGAGATCAGATCGGGCTGCTCACCAGGCCATGCCAAGGTCCCACTCCCTTTGCATGGGTCATTAGTACATTGCATTTAAAGTGGCTTCAACGAAGAAGGGACTTTTGGATGTTGCAAACCCTTTTCATATGTGTCAAATCCTTGTGGGTTGTAACCCGAAATAGCTGTTTATTTATTTAATTCAGGGAACTATTCTGAATAATTATTTTATATACTCTTGAGCGGTCACATCATACTACTATATAACGGAAAACCTAAGTAATGTCCTTAAAGTGGTGTGGTTAGGTGTGTGTGTGTGTATGTGTGTGTGCGTCTGTCTGTGTGTCACGAAATTCATAGCGAGCGTCGCAGAAAAGATAGGACGACAGTTCCAAGGAAGTGACATACATGGCAGGACGGGAACACTTTTGGTGGGTGATAGAATGTGATAGCACCTGATAAGATTCGATAAGGGGCCTTAGAAAGTTAGGGTGAGCGAGCCCATAGTGTGGGACACAGTAACAGTGGGGCATTGGTTCCAAGGTATGATATAGGACGTGGGACAGGAACATTATTGATGGGTGACAGGGAATGATAGCAGCTGATAAGATCCGTCAAGATGCGTCAGAAGGGGAGGGAGACCAAGTCCATAGTACGGGACCCAGTAACAGTGGGACTTTAGTTTCAAGGTATGATATAGGACGTGAGACAGGAACATTATTGATGGGTGACAGGGAATGATAGCAGCTGATAAGATCCGTCCAAGAGGCTCCAGAATGGAGGGAGACCGAAGTCTTATGCGGGGACACCCAGTAACAGTGGGACATTGTTTCAAGGTATGATATAGGGCGTGAGACAGGAACATTATTGATGGGTGACAGGGAATGATAGCAGCTGATAGGATTTGATAAGGAGAGTTAGAATGGTAAGGTCGCCATACCCATAACGTGGAACACAGCATCAACTGGGCATTAATTTCAGAAAATGATATAGAGTTGGAGATGGGGACACGGCACGTGAGGTGATAACAGCTGATAGGGGCTGATAAAGAAGGTTGCCCAAGAGCGTTCAGTCACATTGCAGGACCTTTACACTACCAAATTATAGACTTTTAGTAATAGGGACATTGATGACCGGTGACAGGATCTTATCATTTGATAAGAAAGGATAAGGGGCCATTATCACTACCTCTCTTATCACTATACCCCAAGTATCAGAGGCTCAGTGTGCATACTTTTCCTTTAGCCATCACTTCCCTGATAGCCTAGAGAATGAACTCATCCTACTATATAATGTCGATGTCGACGAGCGGGGGGGGGGGGGGGGGGGGGTATGTAGTTTGCGTGAAACAGGAATCTCAGGAAAATTCGAGGAGAACCGAAAAACACTCTAACAAGCGGATCATTTATGTATTCTATTGAGGACGTCAATGGAGCGCGCTACAAGCCGCTGCCCCAGTAAATGGAAGCGTGCTGGTGTGTACGGGAAAATATCCTAAGCCTTGCTCTGTCATTACGATTCGAAATCACTACAAGCGGCCTTATGAGGCAGTGCACTAGACCGAAAAGTTCCATTAAAATTATGGAGCCGCCTGGCAAAGCTAGGCCAGCTCGGCGAAGCCGAGCTCAAGAGAAGGAGGAGAGCACGGCGTGAGCCGTGCGATCCGACTGGTTACTCTACTCATCAATTTTCTAGAAGGACTGATTAAATGAATTAGGCGATCCCTTGGGTTGTGGGCTTAATCAGTTTAGGCTCCCGCTCTAACACGGTCGGAATATGAAGTCAATCTCGCAAACTGCTGCAGTTGGTATGGCAAGGGCGGTGTCGAGAGGCATGGGAATAACCCCCCCCCCCCCTCCCGCCCCCACCGCGGCATTTCCTACCAGTGGTTGCTTTTTTCCTGAATCAGTCACTACCCAGTTACTATTGGTAGAATACGCATCCGGGGCGGGCTCACTGCACTCCAAACATCGCCCCGTGTGGTTAAGCCGTCAACAACATGTAGCTCTAAACACTGCGCAAGTTCTGTCAAAGTTTACCAGGCTTACCGGATAAGGCTACCGGGGGAAGAAAATTGCAACTGTTTCATTAAAGAGCCCTGAAAACTTACCATCCGCGCTGCAGGGCTGTTCGCGGCCCTGCCTACATTGACACATGACCCCTCATTTCAATCCAGGCAGCGTTCAGACTCCACGATGATGCGCGTCCACGCGAAGTCTGTGCGCTGCCTTAGCTGTCGATGAGTTCAGGCAATGTCAATTCAACCAAAACATGTGAATAAGTATTTCTTGCAGATATCGATTACATATCTGTCTACGATTATGGTATGTATCCAATAGTTTGTATTGTTTGTTTCTGCTTTATCATACCTTGAGCATTATGGTCAAAGAGGAGGTGCTACAATTTTTCCGGCTCATATTTTGCCTTCACTTTGTAATCAATTGCACTGCACGCACACTCCGCCCAATTAAGTGAAACATTTATCTATATCAATTACTCTGGTCATTCGTATATCATGACGCCTTTCTATTTTTGAACGTAATCAAGTACAATGTATACAGGTATTATACAAACACTGTGGTGTACTTGAAATTCATTTTTTGGAAATATCCTATTGTATTTGCTCAGTAATATACTGCGACCCATAATATGACTATTCCTCGTTTTTTTTTTCGTTGTGAGTCTATGCTGTGATAGCTTATATCAGAATTTCAGGCTGTACAATAAATTAATGGTAATTATAGAAGTTTCATTAGAGTGCAGAAATTCTGAACAATATCGGCGTGTCCTTTTCACACTGGGTGCTGGGGCGTGTCAGGGATAGCTTGGCGCGCCGCCAGCCCTTTTTCCACCAACTGTTGTCGCTTGCTACCTTCAGCAACTGGTGGAGAACGCGCTTGCCAAATCCGGGTTCCTGACACATCCTCTGTAAAAAAGACTATGAGTTGAGGCTTTCAGGAGGTCATACGAAAGGCTAAGGTGATATGCTTGGCGTCTGTAGCTAGGTCTGTTGCCGCGCACACTGGGTTATGTGGGAGACGGTAAAGAGGATCGTAATTTGCCGCACCGCCACGCGCGGCGATGGGCGCGGCGTTTTCATAACTCGTTTTAACCTGTCGAATGGAAGCACCG